GAACAGTCTACCCCAGTGAACGAAATAAAGGATTCAGTTCGACATTCCAACCACCTGAAGAAGGCCGGAGCGTAAAACGGCCGAAACGTTGTAATAAATATGGCGACAAAGAGGAAGACAATAGTCCGAATAATGTAAATAATGACCATAGACGATGTTCAAAATTTCAATTTCAAACACCGAAGCAATGCTAATGTTTGACAAATATTTAAGTTGGTTGACTTTCAAATTTCTCTTACAAATATTTTCGGGAGTTTATTCTTTACCTTTTGATTTTACTTTAGTTCATCCAATAAAAGAATCATTCAAGTTATAAGGTTATTGAGTGAGATTGTTGTAATAGAGTAAAGAAGACAGAAGGCAGAAGTAAAAGTGCATATGATAACAGCGGCAGAGAAACGCGAGGCCAACCGGAAGCAGACAAAAATATACTCCTGGTGTAAAAGCTATTATATACACCTGGTATATTAAAATGTAATGGAAGATAATGTAAACTAGAAAAGAGGCTCCAGTTATTATAAACAAATGATAGAAAATTTGTTAGCTTGTAAATTTCGTTGTTGTTCTTGCAGACGACAAAGTAAAACTAAACAAAACAATACAGACGACAGCATCGCAAAGAGATCGAGGACATTGAGGAAAGTAGCGGTATATTGAGGAGACTTGCTATCATTTTTCTGCGGGAACCACACGGTACTAGGTATTAATATGTTGTACGGTATCGGCACCCACTGAATATAAAACCCGGCATGACAGAGTTGGCCAATATTTGGGCTGGAAAATCTGCAACTTCTACGGAACGGAAACTAAAAGAAATTGGTATGAACACCACTCAGACTCGGTTACGGAGATAGAACCTGTTAAAATTTTATGGGACTACACAATGCACACAGACGATCAATCAAAGCTAATCGCCCAGACATTGTTATTAGAGATCGCAAACAAAAAAAGTGCCTCCTTATTGATATGGCAGTTCCTGCGGACTGCGATGTATCTTTGAAGATATTCAAAAAGCTATCAAAATACAAGGACATTGAAATTGAAATCTCAAAAAAGTGGCACATTGGAACAAAATGTTGGACAGGATTGGTTGGAAAAATTCTAGTAGAAATTGAAAATTAAAAAAATAAAAAAATAATCTTAATACAGCCGGTTATTACGAAGGGCTTTTATATTATTTTTTTTTTTTTTGAGATGGAAAATTTAGATGCCATTTTAACCTTTTGAGCGGGTTGTTTTACACACCAGAAATCAAAGGAAATAAAATAGTAATAATAGTAAATAATCTTAATCAAGCGGTTATCACGACTTTCTTATTCTTTGAGATTGTATTTAGTACGTTTTCTTTTGATTTGTTGTTTTGGTCTGAGTGACGAGGACTAAGGTTGAAGTTGATATAGTTTTGGTGACCAGGTGTTTTATTGTTGGTGGAAGATGTTGTTCCAGTGAGAGATTTTTTTTTTATTCTAGGCTGGTTCCTGTCTCAATTGACCGAGGATAAAAAGTACATACATTTGTATTTTTTTTTTTTTTTTACACAAATGCTCGCGAAAAATGTCATAATGCCATTTCTGACCTTAAGTCTCTGGTTTGGACCCGAAAGGAAATGGGTATACAGGATAAATCAAGGAAACAACAACAACAACAACAATAATAATAATAATAATAATAATAAACTAAAATATTGTCAGACAAAAATGCAGATTCTGTGATAAATATCCAGAAACGATTGATCATCTTGTATCAGGTTGCACGATATTGGCACCCACTGAATATAAAACCCGGCATGACAGAGTGGGCCAATATCTGCATTGAAAAATCTGCAACTTCTACGGAACGGAAACTGAAAGAAACTGGTATGAACACCACCCAGACCCGGTTACGGAGATAGGACCTGTTACAATTCTATGGGACTACACAATACACACTGACAGAACAATCAAATCTAACCGCCCAGATATTGTTATTAAAGACCACAAACAAAAACGGTGCCTCCTTATTGATATGGCAGTCCCTACGGACTGCAATGTATCTTTGAAGATATTCAAAAAGCTGTCAAAATACAAGGACATTGAAATTGAAATCTCGAAAATGTGGCACATGGGAACATCAACAATCCCTGTTGTAGTTGGAGACCTAGGACTGGTTGGAAAAGATTGCAGTAGACTAATTGAAGGGATTCCTGGAAGTCCATGCCTTAAGGAGATACAAAAAATTGTTCTGACAAGTACGGCCCACACTTTACGAAGGGCTTTATCTATGTAATTTTTTTATTGATTTTTATTTTTATTTTTTTTTTTTTTGTCAGTGGAAAGTGTCATGATGCCATTTCTAACCTTAGATCCCTGGGCGGGACCCGGAAAGAAATGTGTAAACGCCAGAAATCAAAGAAAATAAAAATAATAATAGTAATTTTAAGAAAACTATCAAAATACAAGGATCTTGAAGTGGAAATTTGAAAAATGTGGCACATTGGGACATCAATAATTTCAGTTGTAGTTGGAGCCCTCAGTTTGATTGGAAAAGGTTCCGATAGACTCATTGAAGAGGTTTTTAGGAGTCCATGCCTTAAAGAAATACAAAAAGTTGTACTAACAAGTACAGCTCACATATTACAAAGAGCTTTATCTATGTAAAATATATGTGATCTTAGATGCTTTTCTGCATATTTTACAAAAATGCTCAGTGGAAAATGACATGATGCCATTTCTGTCCTGGTTGGGACTCGAAAGTAAACGAACAGAAATCAAAGGAAATAATAATAATAATAATAATAATAATAATAATAATAATAATAATAATAATGACTGGTTGGAAAAGATTGCAGTAGACTAATTGAAGGGATTCCGGGAAGTCCATGCCTCAAGGAGATACAAAAAATTGTTTTGACAAGTACAGCCCACACCTTACGAAGGGCTTTATCTATGTAATTTAATTTTTTTTTTTTGTCAGTGGAAAGTGTCATGACGCCATTTCTAACCTAAGGTCCCTGGACGGGACCCGGAAAGAAATGTGTAAACGCCAGAAATCAAAGAAAATAAAAATAATAATAATAATAATAGTAACACATTTAAAGAAGAACGCTATTTAAGAAAAGGAAAAGAAAAGACAGTGTTTGGTAATCTTCAACAATATATCGAAATATTGTTGGAGATTGTCAAACACTGTGTATTTTCTTTTTCTTTTCTTAAATCGCGCTCTTCTCTAAGTGTTGAAAATATTGGAAGAGTTACGTCACTCATTTTGTTTAATAATAATAATAATAATATGAAGAAGAAGAAGAAGAAGAAGAAGAAGAAGAAGAAGAAGAAAAAGGAGATGCTAACACTAGGCATAGCTCTAAATAGATTGGTGTTAATATATACATGTTATGTCTTCGGGAATTAAAATGGGCTCCCCTAAATATCGAGGAGGCATGGTGGAGTAGTGGATAGCGGCTCGGATTGAGGAATCAGAGAGCCTAGTTCGAATTCCAGTCGAATCCATTCACTTACGTATCCTTTTCTTCTCCCCCGACCCCAGCTATGGGTAAATAGGACAGACCGGGTTCTATAACCTTGGATGGCAACTGTTCTACCGCAGAAAAAAATCTGCTTCGTCAGTCATGCATCGAAAGATGCATGATCGTCTAAGCGTGTATCACGCATGGCACATAACAGACTGACACTAAATATCACGGTCAGTATCACTTGGGCATTTCTTCTATTGGTTGAAGCACTATCCATCTGTTCATGAGCAAGAATACTTATACTTTGTATCACAGATCACATATCAGAGGGTGAAGAAGAAAAAACGTGGTAAAAATACCAAAGACCTCGCTCGAGAGCTAAAATGTGAGGAACGTAATGTTCAGAGTCTTACCTATAAGAGTTGACTTATTTAGAACCTTTCAAAAGCATTAGATTCAAAGAAAAACTGAGACTGTCAAGATTACGATAGTTCTTAATTCTTGCGTCTACGAAGTAGGTGTTCTAGATTTGTGAAGACTTGCTGTTACTCGGTTTACCGCCATGATCACCAGGCAACTTGTGGGAACATGCAACTAGTTTGAGAAAACAAATGGGCCTATCCAGATCTGCGAAGATACTGAAGAAAGTGTTAGAGATTTCAAATTTACTGTCCCACAAGTAGTAACCGCCAAACATTTATAATAATAATAATAATAATAATAATAATAATAATACATTTACAATGATTTTAACCATGTACTAAGCCCAAGAGCCACTCGAGGTAGAGGGTTACAAAATAAGAGGTACCACCTCAAGTAAGGTGCTAATGCCACCAAGATGCAAGGGGGCACCGGAAGTGAAAGGGAATGAAAATGCTTTAGAATGAACCGATAAACCAATTCTAAACAGGAAACAAGAGATAAACCTCTACTCCTGTTCAAAAGACCGGGGAGGAGTATGAACCGGACGATATAATAATAATATTAATTGTAAGAGAAACCATTGGGAAGTATGCCGTAAGATTAAGTTTAGTGTAAAAGAGAAGTGGTACGAGAGATATTATGGGATTGCGCAGTCCAGACAGACCATGTCATTGATGACCAGGCCGTATTGTTATAGATAAGGTGAATAGCAAGTGTTAAATTATTGATTTTGCTGTTGCATGGGATACAAGAGTGAACTCCAAATGGAATGTATCTTTGAAGATCTTAAAAAAAAAACTATCAGTGTACAAAGATCTTGAAGTGTTAATTTCAAATACGTGGCACATGAAGACATCAATAATTTCAGCTGTGGTTGAGACACTGGGTTTGATTGGAAATGGTTCTGGTAGCTCATGCCATAAAGAAATGGAAAAAAATGTTTTCGCAAGTAGAGCTCACACACTACGAAGGCCTTTATCGATATAAAATGTATGTGATATTATTTTTTGGTTTTTCTTGTACACAAACGATCAGGAGAAAATGTCATGATGCTATTTCATACCTTAGGTTTCTGATTGTGACCCGGAAGGAAATGAGTATACAGCAGAAATAATAATAATAATAATAA